GTCTCTCCGCTCTCGGTGTAGACGTCTCTCCGCTCCCGGTGTAGACGTCTCTCTGCTCCCGTGTAGACGTCTCTCTGCTCCCGGTGTAGACGTCTCTTTGCTCTCGGTGTAGACGTCTCTCGGTGTAGACGTCTTCTGCTCCGGTGTAGACGTCTCTCTGCTCTCGTGGTAGACGTCTCTCTGCTCTCGGTGTAGACGTCTCTCTGGGTGTAGACGTCTCTCTGCTCTCGGTGTAGACGTCTCTCTGCTCTCGGTGTAGACGTCTCTCCGCTCTCGGTGTAGACGTCTCTCTGCTCTCGGTGTAGACGTCTCTCGGTGTAGACGTCTCTCTGCGTCTCTCTCTGCTCTCGGTGTAGACGTCTCTCTACTCCTGGTGTGGACGATCGAGCCGTCCACACCGGGAGCAGAGATGAAAAGTCCTTTTATTTCATGAAAAGACACCAGCGCATTTCGACCAGCACGACTGCGCGACCATCTAAAGGACTTTTAATACATTCAGCTGGAGCACCCCGGGTTTGTACCTTGCCCATTTTTACATTTTCCAGTAAGAGTAACTTTCTGTTTTAAGTATTTAACTCCATTCAGATCCTCTTACAGTTTACAACACGCAGATCAGATGTTTGTTGCCCCAAGAGTCAAAAAACAAAAACAAAAACCCTCATTTAAATATAAAGCTCCCTGATTGGATCAAGCTTCCCTCATCAAGTCACTTCTGCTCCTTCATTTAAAAATGCTCTGGTTGAATATTTACAGAACCTGTGTCATTGTTTTTGATCATTTTCTTGAATTTTGTTGTTCATCTTGTTGTATTTCGTGATTATATTTGAACTCTGTCTTAGTTTGTCAAGTGTCAGTGAGTGTGGTTTGTGTGTGTCAATATTTTTGGGTTCGACTTCATTTCCCTTTCCTCCCCGGTCGCTTTAATCTCGTCGATTATGTGTGTTCTGTGTTTTTGTTGTATGTGCTGATGTTGCAGAGTTAGTTTACGTTCAGACTGCAGGATTTAATGCTCCATTCGGATTTTTTTTTTGTGAAATCCTGTTTTTGCGAGGTCGTTCACATTTCCAATTAAAAGCGACTTGTCTGCAGTGTTGGGGAGTAACAGATTACATGTACCGGAGTTACGTAATCAGAGTACAAATGATGAGTAACTGTATTTTGTTACAGTTACTGTTTCAGTGAGTGCTAATTGGATTACAGTTACTTTGCTGAAATAAATGGATTACACAGAAGTATTTTCCTGTTTTCACATTTTGGGTTATATCTCTTTTTTTTGTTTTTTTTTCCGGTAATTCCACTTATTCCCGGAAACTAAATCAGGTCTAAACCAGGTCTAAACCAGGTCTAAAACCAGGACTAAACCAGGACTAAACCAGGTCTAAAGCCAGGCCCAAACCAGGTCTAAACCAGGTCCAAACCAGGTCTAAATCGGGTCCAAACCAGGACGAAACCAGGACTAAACCAGGTCTAAAGCCAGGCCCAAACCAGGTCTAAACCAGGACTAAACCAGGACTAAACCAGGTCTAAACCAGGACTAAACCAGGACTAAACCAGGTCTAAACCAGGTCTAAATCAGGTGTAAACCAGGTCTAAACCAGGACTAAACCAGGTCTAAACCAGGTCCAAACCAGGACTAAACCAGGTCCAAACCAGGACTAAATCAGGTCTTAAACAAGTCTAAACCAGGACTAAACCAGGACTAAACCAGGTCTAAACCAGGACTAAACCAGGTCTAAACCAGGTCTAAACCAGGTCTAAACCAGGACTAAACCAGGTCTAAACCAGGACTAAACCAGGTCTAAACCAGGTCTAAACCAGGTCTAAACCAGGACTAAACCAGGTCTAAACCAGGTCTAAACCAGGTCCAAACCAGGTCTAAACCAGGACTAAAACCAGGTCTAAACTATGTCTCAAACAGGATTTAACAGGACTAAACCAGGCCGTGCGGACCGTGTCTCCTCGTCTTCTGTTAATAATATAATAATAATATTAACCATATATAATTTGGTTCAGTAAAGTCTGATCTTTTTATTTTCTTTTATCAGACAAAAAACATTTTATGTGAAGATGTCCGAGTCTTTGCTTCTCTACAGCAAATCAAGTAATCCAAAGTATTCAGATTACGTTACTCACTTTAAGTAATTTAATGGATTACGTTACAAACTACATTTTGGTGTGTGTAATCTGTAATCTGTAGGGGATTACATTTAAAAAGTCACCTTCACAACACTGGTTGTATGTGATCTCCAGAGTGAATTTTAAACGGCCCGAAAGTGTCCCGCATGTGACACTGGAGACACGAGGAAGTCAACCGCAGCGAGCGTCTCTGTGTTTACGGAAGTTGTCCAAACATGGACGCAGCATCGAGATTTTAGATCAGATACAGGTCACAAAGGCTGCGTTCAGACTGCAGCCTGAAGTGACCCAAATCCTGTATCTGATCTTTTAATGTCAGTCTGAACCACACAGATCCGATTTTTTCAAATGTGACCCAGGACACTTGGATCTGTGCTGGAACCGATACATATCTGATCTTTTGACATGCGACTTCAGTCTGAACGGCCAAAGTGCATTCATCCACCTACACGTTATCAACAAGACACAAACGTCACTATTCTGCACTGAAGTAGGGAAAAATTGTTAATGAACTCCAGTGTCACTGAAGTGAAGCACATCTCCACTCACCACTCTTGGCTCCGTCTCCACATCCACACGTTCCTTTCAACGTTCTGTCCCACAAAACACCACGACCAAAAACCTTGTTCTTCTCCTTCTCAATCTCCTCCTTAAAACAAGTAAATTGTTCATGTTCTGGCTCCGGTACGAGAGGAACTTTAAAATCTCCAGGTGCTCGATGCTGCGTCCATGTTTGGACAACTTCTGTAAACACAGAGACGCTCGCTGCGGTTGACGTCGTCGTGTCTCCAGTGTCACATGTGGGACACTTTCGGACCGTTTAATGTTCACAATGGAGTCACATACAAGTCGCATTTAATTGGAAATGTGAACGACCTCGAAAAAACATCGGATTTCACAAAAAAGCCCTGCTGTCTGAACGTAGCCATAGGGACGAAAAAATCGGATTTAGGTCACTTCAGGCTGCAGTGTGAACGTAGCCTTATTAGTGTCCCTGATTCTACACAGTTACTTTAAGTTTCCAGATTCCAGATAGTTAGTTAGTTGTAAAAAAAAAAAGAAGATAATTATGTCACAGATAGTAATCTCTAATCTCAACTCATGACTGTAAAGAGCTTTGTGTGGCATTTCTTTGTATGAAAAGCACTCTGTAAATAAAGTTTGATTGATTGATTGATTGTGTTGATTTTGTCATTTTGATGTTTCTTTGATTGTTTGTATCCGTCTGTCTGCCCTAATGTCTCTGTCTTCTGCTGTTGTTACTATGAGGACACCTTGAAAACGACACGGCGACACATGTCAAGGGACTTATCCTCCAAACAAATACATTCAAATTCAAAAAACCCGAAAAAGTGCGGTGTTCTAAAACTTTTTGTATTCGTGGACATTCTCAAGATTAATACAATTTACGCCATCATAATAAAAAAAATCAACAGTTATCCTAATTATAACAAAAATCTCTGGACTGTTGTTCTTTCAAATATTTTTTCCCCATTATTATTCATTAAAAGTTATTTTGAATTGAAAAAGGGAAGTGTCTTGTTGCTGTTCCATAACTGAACTCGTTTTTCTTGCTCAGCAGTTGCAATAGAAGGACTGGACTAGTTCTAGTTTTATGTTTATTTGAGTTTCCCTAAATATAGAGCGAGAACCAACCACTTGCATTCGGAGTAATAATGAGAAAAACCACGGGGATGTGACACTACTGTGTGTGTGTGGTTTTCAGTGTTTTAGTGGAATGATTAAATGATGTTTGTTTTCTTTTCAGTCTGTTCAGTTTGAGTACTGCTTCACCACCGGCACAACTGGCACCTCAAACGCGTCCTGGACCACGTGGCGGTTTCTAACGCTTTTTCTCCTCCAGTCTGGGAGAGAGCTCTTCACGTTTCAACTGCAGAATTACAGTGGTTCAGTAGTAGTTCAAACTCAAATTCACAGAGGCCAAAATTAAAAACTGGGACTAAATCGTGGGTCAAATTAAGTGTTTATTGAAAAATTTCACCAACATCTGCATGTTTTATCTTCTTTCCAGATATGTAATGTTAAACTTTTTCTTATTAAAATCAATGTTTAATAATAGTTTTGCTTAAACACTGAATCCAGAACAAGAATATAATAATAATAATGTGGGACCAATAGTATGAAGCACAGTAATGATAATGAATTAGAAAGCACCAATCATTTTATTTTTTATTATTTTATATCAGATTTTTATAAAGGAATATATATATATATATATATATATATATATATATATATATATATATATATATATATATATATATATATATATATATATATATATATGTGAATATTTCTTTTGATAAATATAAGTTTGTAAGTTAGACGTGTAAAGTGCCTGGATGAGAACAGCGTGGTCATAAATGTGTTTCTTGTGTTTCAGTGCATTCAGCATTAAATGGAAGTAAATATAAACTCTCTGAAGCCTCTTTATCTGACCACAAGTGCTACAGTAACAGAAGTGTAAATAAATAATGTCTATATAGTCTGCCTGTAGCCGGCGGGCAGCTTTCATACATTATCAAAAGTCAAATATAATTATATCACCGGCCAAATTTGGCCCCTGGGCCTGAGTTTGACATGCCTGCAGTAGTTTACCCAAGACAAGCAGCCTAATACTCACTCTTACGTCTGCTGACAATGCGGCCAATCCATTTCACGCACAGGCCACTAATAAAATGTTAATATCGTGTAACATTCGGACCCTCAGGGCGTCTGTGTTTATAGATCACACAAACCAATCCAATCAATACTAAATAAAACAGGTCCACAAACCTGAGTGGCTGTTTGTATCGGTTTGGTGTGTTTAGATGGGCAGGCGGGGATTACCCAGCGCTTTGTCATAAAACAGAGTCTCGCGCACCGTGCACCAGTCCCGCGGTGCCACAGAGCGCACAGCGGACACCAGAGCAACAGCGCAGGAGGACGAAGCGCTGCTCGTGGATATACTGCGTTAGAGGATCACACAGCACGACCCAACTTCAACCCTTTTCAACAAAAAGTGAGTAGTATTATAAAAGAAGTGTTTGTGCGTAAATATTGGTTTTATATTTAATGTCGGTCGCACAGTCCGAGCCGCAGCCACAGCGCGTCCGAACTCCATTGCAGCACAGGGAGATATTAGTTTGTCTAGTTGTCTGCTACAGTCAAATGTAAATGAAAGATTCAGTGTTGTAGAAATTGTGCGCGTTTTCTTTGGTTTTTACGCGCGCAGTTGCGTCAAATACGTGCGTAAAAGTTTGCCGCCAGCTTCCATGAAACGAGAGAAACCATTTTGATCTGCTTAATTATGTTATCACACTGCACAGCACGAGCACGGTCTACGGACTAAACCAGGACTAAACCAGGACTAAAGCAGGACTAAAGGTAGGACTAAGGTAGGACTAAGGAGGACTAGATCTAAATCAAGACTAAACCAGGACTAAACCAGGACTAAACCAGAACTAAAACAGAAATAAACCAGGTCTAAACCAGGACTAAACCAGGACTAAGGTAGGACTAGATGTAAATCAAGAGTAAACAAGGACTAAACAAGGACTAAACCAGGACAAAACAAGGACTAAACCAGGACTAAACAAGGACTAAACCAGGATTAAGGTAGGACTAGATGTAAATCAAGACTAAACAAGGACTAAACAAGGACTAAACCAGGGCTAAACAAGGACTAAACCAGGACTAAGGTAGGACTAGATCTAAATCAAGACTAAACAAGGACTAAATCAAGACTAAACCAGGACAAAACCAGGACCAGATGTTGTTATGTCATGTAAACCAGCTCTGAACCCGGAGCAGATTCATAAACAGAGACAGTACTGTTTGCGCATGTGTAAGTGTATTTGCAGTTTGTGTGTATATACTGTATGTTTACCTGCTTTTTATCATAAATGGTTATATAATATATTGTGTTATAAGTAATAATCATTTTTTGGAAAACATGCTTCACTGGTGATACGACGGTAAAGAATAAAACCTAAACCAGCTCTAAACCAGGACGAAATGTGATAAAACACGACGAAAACAGATCTAAACGAGGTTAAACGGGGCAGTCGTTCCATTTATAGAGAAAACTAAACTAAATCTAAACCAGGTCTAAACCAGACTAAACTAAACCACAACGTGACCTAAACCAGGACGATAAAGGATGAAACACCAAGCCTAAGACCCAGACCTGAAATTAAAGTGTCAGTGTACAATATTGTGATCATACTTCACTGTTGTAAAACTCTAACAAATAGCACGTCTGTGGCCAAAGGAATTTCCCGTTTGGAATGATAACCATAATTCTAGGTGTGATAAACCAGAACCAACCCCGGACTAATCACACACAATCTTTCAATGGTGAAAAACAAAGAAACGAACCAAACTCTTCGACTGTGATCGACCGTGAGCTTTAAACTGTTTTATAATGTTACATAAACATAAGTGGAATTGTGTTTTGTTTCCTTCACATGTTTGCATAACCGTTTATTATTAGTCTGTCGACATCTCCAGAGCTCAGAATTGGCTGTTGCACTTTGTGATGTCATGTAGTAGGGGTGTAACGGTACAAAAATAACGATTCGGTTTATTTTCAGTGCAGTTTGGGATGAAAAAAAATACAGAATCATTTGCTTGTTGTTTATTTGTGTGTTTATTAAAGCAATAATTTGTTTTAACATTATACAAACGGGAAAATAAAATAAATGCAAAATGCTGCTTGGTAAAACAATTAAGTTGAATCAAATATTCTCAAATAAACAACAAATGTATGAAATATTATAAAAACAAAATTCCTTGTAAAAAAATAAATAAACAAAACATTTCAAAAAGTAAAGCGCAGCACTAACAGTTCCAGCATGAAGTGAGGATCCTCGTGGTTTGGAGGGACGTAGTCAAGGCGGGGGGCAGTTATAAACTAAATATAAAGCGCCGCGGGAAACACTGCCACCTCGATCACGGACGAGTTGAATATTAAAGAGTCGAGTCTCCGTGTAGCTGCGCATGTAGTGACTGAATGCAAACACACACAAATTGTGCCAACTCCCTGTGCCGACCTACACCGAACCGAACGTCCCGCAAAGAAACAGTTCAGCACAAAGACATGCACCGTTACAGGCTTTCAAGTTAACCACACTTCTGTTTTACTGTTTTACCATGAGTGTTTTTCTGTTTCAGAGATGAACTCAGACTAAATGTGCAGGTTTGTGTGTTAAACATGAGTGAATGAAACAGAACACAACTTCAGGTCTGAGTGTGAGGTGGAAACATGAATAGATCAGAAAACAGTTTTTTCACAGTTTGGAGCTCATGAACAGCACACACACACACACGCACACATGCACGCGCACACACACACACACACACACACACGCACACACGCACACACACACACATACACACAGTGTGACCTCAGGGTGACCTCAGGGTCAGCTGGGAGTGAGCAGAGGTCCAGTCTCTGCTCCTGCTTCCTTTGTTCATGTGGAATGTTTTTCTTGTTCATTTCCAGACCTGAGTCCAGACCTGAGTCCAGACCTGAGTCCAGACCTGAGTCCAGACCTGAGTCCAGAGCCATGCCTCCTACGCGGGAGAAGATGAGGCCGTGGCTGGAGAGGCAGATCAACTCCAACACTGTGTCTGGGCTGAACTGGATCAATAAGGTGAGACTGAGACTGAGCGTAGGGAGCATTAGAGGTGTACAGTAGATGCTCTGTGTGCTGTTATGTGTCCAATACACTACAGGTTTTAAATTCTGAAAAACAATCCCATCATGCAATTCTCTTTGTAAATATACACATTTTCCATTAAAGCTCTGCTGTGTCCATTTTTAGCCCAAAGATGTTTATGTTGCTCTGAAAAACAGACAATCATCTGTGAGTGGGCTTGCCTCTCCACAAACCTGACTCTTATTTGGCCTGGAGGAAGGTCTCTTCCTGTTTTTTTTCCTTTGATTATAATCTTCCACAGGATGGCACAAAACTATCTCCATGGAGGATGTTCTGAAGTGTGGTTGGAACTTGCGCATGGTTCCACAGTGGGAAGATGTCCGTATTCTCTGTGTTTTATACTTGAGCAGGTTTTATCTGGAGTTGTTCTATAAATAACAGCAGACACACTGAAGGTGACGCATCACCCGCACTATTCCTCAGAAGTAGTTAAAACCTTTGACACTCCTTCAGACCACAGAGAGGTTCAGTGTGGTGCTGTTGAATTCACACTAAAGACGCATCTTATCTGTCTTCATATTTGTCCAGACTTGCCCTGCAGCCTGTCCAGTGTTTTGTTTTGTTTACTGCGCTGTCGTGAATTGAGAAGATTTAAAATAGTGTGATAAGGGCAACTGTGTGTGACTTGATTGTTTTGTGTAGAGGGGAGGGTGACATGAGGACAGATTAAATGTCCATAGTTCATGTGCACTTGAGTAAAGTCAGGATTCTACTCTGAGGAGTGTTACACAGTTTGACCTGTGCTACACTCTGCATCAGTGTGTTTAACAGAGTAACACTGGGTTGTGTAATCCGCTCGTATCTTGGTCCCACCATCTGAAAAGAATTCTCTTTTAAAGCTGAAAACCATTTGAGGGTCTGTAGATGTTCAAAGCATGGGTTATTTGTGTTTTAGTTGAAGCTAGTCTCTTGTGACAATAGTTTATTTGTTTACCTGTTGCTATGACGACAATCACATTGTGGTGATATAGATCAGTGATTAAACGCTGCTGGAAATACCTGTGTGGTTATATAAAGATAATGTAAGTGGTGTGTTTATGTGCTCCTCGGGATTCAGAGATGAGATGTTGGAGTTCTGTTTGTGTTTATGTGTTTTAATCTCAGAAAGTCTGGATTATGATGTCACCACTGATAAAATGTCTTGACCTGCTCATTAACATAGTTTAACTGAGCTCCACAGTGAGATCTGTGGTTATAAACCAGTTTACTCAGGCTACTTAACATTACATGAGTATTTATGAAACTGTTGTTTTCTCGGGTCTTTCTGTTGCTCTTATGATCTGGATCAGTGACAGTAAACCTCTAAATGTGATCACTTCAGTCAAACATCTCACATGTGTCAGATGAAGAGACAAATGAGCAGATTTTGGCTCATCTCCTCAAAGCAGTGACATGAGCTGTGGAATTCAGGCAGGAGGGTTTGGCTCGAGTTATTTTTTCAAAAGGAGAAATAGCACACAGTGTTAGGTAAAGCTTTGTATATGTTGTTCGTAAGGCAAATTAAAATATGTAAACATCAAATATAAATCTAGACAATAAAAGAGGAGATACAGAGCAGAGATGAAGTTTTGACCTGCCATAGGCTGATACGCGACGTGATCACATGATGATGCTCTGCTGTTGTAACACATAACAAACAAAGACAACACTGACACACAACTCTACTCTTCACTGACACTCGGCTCAGTTCTAATGTTCTGTGTTTGTTAGGAGAAGAACATGTTCTCCATTCCCTGGAAGCACGCAGCTCGACACGGCTGGACCATGGACCAAGACGCATCACTGTTCAAGATGTGGGCCATTCACACAGGTACGACAAGAAACCACAGTATGAATCATTTGTGTTCATGTGACTTACTAGTGAATTCATTACGCACACATAATTATAATTGTAACAGCCTTTCAGGTGAGAGTCATTAAGACTCTGATGAGACTCGATGGAATGTGCCTTGTTTATCATCAGCTCTGGCCTCAGCTTGTAACATGAGATGATCTGATCAATTTAACAAAAGGAAAACACACTGTATTGTCCACGGCTGCTCCGGTCCCTGCGTTTGGACTTTGGCTAAACTTTTTTAAAATAATCTATTAAATAATACTGACTCTTGTGAGCTTTAGGCCGTGTTATAATGCTGTTACCT